GAACTTTAACATTGTAAGTCCAAAAACTTTCCAATGACTCACTGGGGTGGTGGATATAGCTACATAATGGGTTACTTGCACTTGTCTACTGGAGATAACTGAACCCCTGAACTTTAACATTGTAAGTCCAAAAACTTTCCAATGACTCACTGGGGTGGTGGATATAGCTACATAATGGGTTACTTGCACTTGTCTACTGAAGACAACTGAACCCTGAACTTTAACATTGTAAGTCCAAAAACTTTCCAATGACTCACTGGGGTGGTGGATATAGCTACATAATGGGTTACTTGCACTTGTCTACTGAAGACAACTGAACCCTGAACTTTAACATTGTAAGTCCAAAAACTTTCCAATGACTCACTGGGGTGGTGGATATAGCTACATAATGGGTTACTTGCACTTGTCTAAATCTGCTACAGCAATTAATAGAATTAATTTCAATATTAACAGTATTAGAAAACCTTATTTAAGAATCTTGTGTATACTCCAAAAATCATTGGTGTTGAATGTTCTAGGCAAATTTCATGCAGCGTTGTGTTTTGCTGTTTCATAACCATACTGCTGAAAATAATTGAGTAGAAATTGATAATTTGTTAATTATATTAGGTTTTTAGAAGGTAATATGGCAATTGGGAAAACTAAAAAAAACATTCAAAATGTACAGATCTTTTTAGTGTATAATAGTGTTACAGAATGTCACTAGAACAATGTTATTTAACTTACAATGTTAAAGTTTGGGGTTCAGTTATCTTCAGTTACTAAACCTGATAGTACATGAATTTCTTACATACTAATCGTGCCAGTTAATAAATGCTCTACCTACTAAATATATTATAATGCAAGAATATCCCATATAGTGAACTTGATAATGTGTGAATGCCCTCCAGTACCATCTTTGGTCAGGAAAAAAAATGTCAAGATTTGTAAAAATGGTGTGTGGGGGTTTGTTGAAATTACAAAATGGTGTGTGGGGGTTTGTTGAAGTTTTAATTTCATTCTAATAGAGGTTATAGTTTTTTTGTAAAAAATTTGACATGAATTGTGTTTGTATTCCTTTGTGTATGTTTTTAAATATACCCTTGCATACATATTTATTGTGATGATTTGAATGTAAGGGGCACGTTAGTAATTTTATATTCACCATCATTATCGGTGAAATATATACTTACACGTGGTGTTGTTAAATTCATGTTTTATATGTTTATTAATACTTCAGATACAAATGAAAAACGTTCATAATGAGACCAAAAAAAAGTTGATTTCCATTACCAGTTCTTGTCCCCCATCCCACCAAACATGCTCGCCCTTTCAGCTGTGGGGGCTTTATAATGTGACGGTCAATCCCACTATTCGTTGGTAAAAGAGTAGCCCAAGAGTTGGTGGTGGGTGGTGATAACTAGCTGCCTTCCCTCTAGTCTTACACTGCTAAATTAAGGACGGCTAGTGCAGATAGCCCTCGTGTAGCTTTGTGAGAAATTCATAACAAACAAACCAGTCATTGTCATTAACTCTTAGTAGAATGATGACATCAAGGACTGGTAATAGAAATAAAAAAAATTTTAGTTTTTTTTTTAGTCTCATTGTGAATGTTTGTGATTTGTTTTAATTTTGCTATTGTTATAGTATTAGAACTATTGTTTGGCTCATTTATTTACTACTTATACTACCTGGTTGTTCTTTTCACAACGTACCGGTTTTTCTAGGTTGTACATTGCTAGGAATACAACTTAACAATTATGGAAAGATTTCAGAGAATAAAAGACTTAAGTCATAATAACACAAAATAGTATTTCTTGAGTACATTCGAAATCATAGTAAAAAATAATTGGATGCATTCGTTTAAAAATACTGCTCATGATCAAAGTTGTTGGAAAATCTTTATCAATATACTTGATTCAGGAATGCTGGACTAGTTATTCAAGGAGTGGAACGAGGTAGTAGAATCGACAGAGATGGAAGGTTACAAGCTGGTGATAGGATTATTAGGATCAATGGGCAGAATCTCCTTCATACCAGTTTTCAAGAAGCTCAAGAAATCTTCAAGAATGCTCTTAAAGACCAGGAGGTACGCATTCATTTCAGAACGGGAACGGAGCCATCCTCAAAGAGCTTTCTTTTATCACCAGAAAATGTTTTTTCTCAAGAAAGAAGTGAAAATTCTGAAGAGGAAGAAATGGAAAGAGGTATTGAATTTGACTTTCTTGATTCATCGCTGAAACCAGCATTGTCCTACGAGGTCCTCTGTATAGTTTTACTAACCTATATTTGTTCAAGTGTGACTTTATTTTCTACATCTGTCGTCTTACAGTAGCCTACTAACAGAAATATTTTGGGAAGTGTTGCTTCTTCAGAAGGACAATATTTGGTCCTGTCATTTAACTTTAATACATCAACTTACTTAGAATAACTTAATATATAAAACTAGTCATCATGGAAGAGTCAACTGAAATTTCCAAACAGCAATATCAACTGAGACTCAAATTGTTTTATGTTACAACTTGAAAACTGATTAAATGCCAAGTTAAAAAACAACTTAACCCTCAAATTATCAACTTGTTTATATACCATTCACTACCAGAGGTGTTCACAAGTTTCATCGTATTGACTAATTTCATCTTGGCCTGTTACAACACTCCACACAGTGTAGAGCATTCACGTATTATCATAAGCTATGTAGGACGCTGATGCATTCTCATGTTTTCTTATTATACGGTATAATTCACTAGCAACGGTTACTAAAACATCCAAAGTTGAAGAGTAATAAACTGAAAAACATTTATTTTGTAATATTAAATGGGTGTATTCAGTATCAATTTCTGTTTCCATTCTTTTAACGGCTGTTTTTATGATACCAGCAGTTTTCACATGAAATTTAATCCAAATAGGATAAATTACTTTTATACAGAGTAATAACTAGTCTAAATATTGTTCTTTATTCATTATCTCCATTTTAAAAGCTACTTTTAATTTAAAATTTTCAACAAAAAATTGTCTTTCAGAGTTAACAATTACAAGTGCATTTCTGCCATTAATTTTTTTTCCATTTCAAGTTTTTCAAATCTTTGCAACTACATTTTCACATGAGTAAACCTCTTTTCTTGTGGGGTGGGTGGTGGGTGGTACATCCATATGAATGTATCAAAGAAGCACATCACCACACTTGCATAACTTTATTAAGCCTATTTCACATTAGTTAAGTAAGGTGATCCTTTTAAAAATTCCCACTAATAATTTCTTTCACACAGTCTTCAAGCTCTAGTCATGAGATATGTACAAACATCACGATTAAACCTAACTTCTTCACACAATTTTCAAGCTCTAGTCTGAGATATGTACAAACATCACGATTAAACCTAACTTCTTTCACACAATCTTCAAGCTCTAGTCTGAGATATGTACAAACATCACGATTAAACCTAACTTCTTTCACACAATCTTCAAGCTCTAGTCTGAAAATATGTACCAACATCATGTTTAAACCTGACTTCTTTCACACAATCTTCAAGCTCTAGTCTGAAAATATGTACCAACATCATGTTTAAACCTGACTTCTTTCACACAATCTTCAA